GTGAACGTAGATACTAAGCGGGGAGCACTCTTCCATTCTTGTTGAGAGTCCCTTGTGTACACCATTCATATTGGCTGCGCCATCGAATGGTTTACCAACAATAATCTTGAGGTCGAGATTGAGATTTCACCAGTTTATAAAATGCTTCGCCTTCGATTGATTTCGTGGAATAGAAACCAATGAATGCTTCTGTCTTTGTGCCATTGTAATTAATTCTGATGTAAATTCCGATGTAGCCGGATTTGGATTTAGTAAATGGTTTAAACCCAGGAGTATCAGTAGTCTTTCAGCCAATACCATCATAGCTAAACTGACCAATCACGTTCAACGGACCAGACTTATAACATCAACGACTGACAAACGCTATTCGCTTGACTCTAAAGATGACTTCCGCTCAGGTTGTCGAAACGTCAGTCACCAACAACAGCTCTTTTCAAAACTACCCTCACCCGGACGATCACACTATACGAATTACTCCACTCAGGATATGTACCACTGTCACTCTAAAGATCTTTGCCAACGTTTTCGGCGTCGATGTTCCTGCTTTTAGGCCTACTTGTGATTGTTTCATCACCGCTGGTGAAACTTAGTTGCGATTGATTTGGCGCATGACGAACCGTAAATTTAACTTTCTTTCCTTTATGCTTGGTTTTTGCATGCGCGTCCTGGTACTCGGCAAAGATTTCTTTTTCCTATTCGGAGCAGGTGACGCGTTGGCGATAGGACGTCTCTGAGGCGCTGGGTTCAACATGTCGAATGTGGCTAGATATCGCTAGATATAGGCAAACAAAAGTGTAGGCGTATTTCCCACGTTTCACTCACATTTCTTTAATCTCGGGTTCAAGTGAAATTTGATCAGCTGAAAAACACGTTGCCCAGCACGTGACTCAAATTCTCAAGTAAGACCTTTCGGTTTTCGATACAAGCATTTATTTTTAAAAGATCATTGCATGTTGTGTTTTAGACACTCGACATAGTACAATGTAAAGAGGATAAGAGGAACATAATTGCGTGTTTGCGTCCTATGGAATTTTAACTGTAAATCACGCTTCAGTAAGGACGTGAATGAAATTTCTGCAATGCTTAAAAAGTTTCATCAAGAATGAAAAAAAAATTCCAAATTCTTACAAAAATAAAGCTTTTGTCCAGTGACAATGTGAGACACAAAAAAATAAGGGGTGTTAAGAAAATGCCAACTCGCACTGCTTTTGAGTCTCACCTTTTTGCATATTGATTACCAATACTGTTAATCTCTGTTTTGTAGTGACATTGTAATTTCTCGAAACAAATGGAAACGTTTTAAAAACCCTTTACCCAAATTTCTTTTGTTGCCCCAAAAAGATCTCGCTCAAATTTTTTTTCAAATTAAAATTACAATTATAGCTTGCCCGCGGATAGCTGAGCTAATCTAGGCGGGTAGTGTTCACACGAATCATGTTTACCAAGTAAGGAATCTCATTCTAGATGTCATAAAAAAGTTGAGACCATACGTGACGATGACATCAAAACATGAATTTTTTTAACGAGGCTTTCTTAGCAACAACAGTGGAAAAGACACTATTTTTCAAAAAAGGTGATGGGATCTTTTATTCCATCAAAATGGGACCCTTCCTTTAAGATAAAAAGGCTGTCGAGTTCGGTGGTCCCACAAAGAGAAAATGACACGAATGATCTGAAGGTTTAGCTTCCACGATCAACAATTGATTGTCAGGTAACAGTTCCTGGAGTTGCGTCAGTTCAAAAATGTTCCAGTCGTCCTGGCATTGTTTTACGTCAGTCTGAAGATTAATGATGTGAGTAAAAGAGTCTTTCAGAGACTCCCCGCGCCTTAATTTTCTCTGCTCGCCAAGGTTCCGTCTCCTTGGGTTGCGAAGAACACCTTTTAAGAATTTGTAATTGTTATAGTGTTCCTTTAACTTGGTGCAATTGTAAAGCTTCCATTGTTGTAGTATCTCCACCATGGCAGGGAGCGTAAATCCTTTGTGAGGTGGAACTGAGAGGAAGGCACACTGGAACGGACTCAACAAAACCAATAACGGTTTGATACCTATCTATAAAAAAACGATTCTCTTGCCGTCTTTTTGTCTGCCACTCAACGTGGTCGGAACTGACATGGTGTAAAGTACTTAAAATTGTTCGTTGGAGCTCCTTTTTATAACCGAAAAAAAGCCATACCCCCTCCCTCCGCTCCCCCTCTGAAATGACGTGATTGGAAAGTCTCCTCCCCCATGGGCTGACGTCATGATCGAGGTGATCCCCGTCACGCGGTGAAGTCAGACCAGAGATGGCGCTGGGGGTGCTAATGTGAGATTCTCAAAAAAATAGGACGGACGTGCATGACTCATGGGCATTTTTTTAAATTTTCTCCTCCCATCCTTATGTTTACAAAGCGGGACCTCTGTCACCCCAGAGAGAAATCTGGAAATCTATCTGCCTGACCTGCCTAAGCGTGACTCAGATCTTCATCTAAAGCTATACGGATAGGACTGTTTGCACATACAGTGGTGGTGATAGATTCGTGGCGAAGCGGAAAATGTTCGAGTACATGGTGTTCGCAGCTTAGTAAAAATAAACGTTTATAGATGAAAAAGGGTTCGAAATTTAGGTGAATTTAATGCCGTCATTTTCCACTCTGTCCTTAGCATGTAGGCGATCAGCTAACCACTGTATCATTCGTTGGATTTCTAGGGGTAGCTTATCCCAGTGATTGAGTGTCTACCAATAAAAAATGTTTTTGTTCTAGTTGGCTAGGACGGTTGTCAAATATTCATAACGAAAACAATCAAACTCACCTCACAAGTCTCTTGCTCGTGACGAAGGGCCTGCCGTAAAAGGCTTAAATCTCTAGGGGAGTCCATGCTGAGAAGTTTGAAGTTGGACACTACGCGACGCCTTATATTAGACTCGGCTCTAGAAAAAAAGGCGATACCCCCTTCCCCTCCTCTCTGTGGGCTGACGTCATGCTCGGGCCATTCCCCTCTCTTGACGTCACGCGAGAAATCGCTTTGATTGGTGCATGTGACTTATAAACAACTTTTAATGGAATAGACCAATTTCGATATATTAAAATTCAGTTTAACACAACAGACTTCAGCACGAGGCTCTGGGGAATAAACCCCACAAACTCTGTAGTTATTCCCCAAAGTCTCGAGCTGAGGTCTATTCTTTTAGACTGAATTTTAATATATCGAAATTGGTCTATTCATCGTTTTACATGAAATGTGTTTTACAAAGTTTTTTTTTGTGATAATAAAAGAAGTGTGGGTGACAGATATCTCATCTGTAGGGTTTTTCCTCTGTAAAGGTACCAAAAAAAGGAGAAAAACATGTGACATTGGCTTTTTTTTTTAATGATTTGAAAAAGTACAATATCAACGCTAACAGCTACGATAAGAGTTCCAGGGACGTTGGTGGACTTGAAAAATACTAAACCTATTAAATCACGTAGGGTGTGTCAGGGGCGGTGCTGTTCGCCGCCATTATGAATTTCAACCGCCGGCGGGGATGTCGCAGGAGAAGTCATACTTGCGAGTGGCGATTTTTTTGTCCCTCGGGGGTAAGGTGGGGGTGGTACAGTCTTGAGAGAATAATAGCCTAATGACCAATCCGTGAGCAATTCTACATTGTCGTGATGATGCCTTTGTTTTGCGATATCTACTGGTGTCTTATCCATAGTATCCACGACTTTGCGGTTAGCATAGTTCATTAACAGATGTCGTACGGTCTGGACGCTTCCCTCACGACAGCCAAGGAACAACGGTGTTGGACCCTATAAGATAACAAAA